TCCGAGGGGTTTCAGCGCATCTTACTTCCTTGAGCCTTGGCCTGAGAGCAGAAGTATCTCAAGTTGTGTTTCACAGTTTCTAAATTCCAGTAATTTGCCAGCTGACATTTCATTGGTTTACACGTATTCAGAGAACCTCCTGATAACTGATACTTCTGCTCAAAGTTCAGGCATTGAACAGATTAAAGATTTTTCTATTCCTTCAAACCAAAATACACCTTGAAGTATAGTGTAGATGAACGGTTTTATCAGTAGAATTGTGTGTCAAACTCTTATCACCAAAATCTACCCACTAGTATTTTAATAAGTTTGGGGGAAAAAAAGGGAAACTATTTTGCACAGAAAAGCGGATGGGGGAAAATTTTGAGAGCTCTTGGCTTGGTGCTGTCTCAGACATCTGCTATTGGGATTTTTTTTTAAGTATCTTTAGAATCTTCAGAATTATAGCAGAACTTATTACAATATATTGTCCCTTTAAAAAATGTTCTTATTGGGGCTGGCCCCATGGCCGAATGGTTAAGTTCATGAGCTCCACTGCAGGCGGCCCCAGTGTTTCGCTGGTTTGAATCCTGGGCGTGGACATGGCACCGCTCATCGAGCCACGCTGAGGCGGTGTCCCACATGCCACAACTAGAAGGACCCACAACAAAGAATATACAACTATGTACCTGGGGGCTTTGGGGAGAAAAAGGAAAAAAATTTTTAAAATCTTTAAAAAATGTTCTTATTTTGAGTATCCCTTAGTTACCTAAAGAGTGGAAAGGAATTTCTCATCATAATTTTGACTCAGTCTTGCGAAGTATTGGCATGAAGAAATTCACAGGACTTTTGAATAAAAAACCAAAGAGTACAATGACTTAAAATTCATATTTTTTTCCCTTAAACTTTGTTTTGTCATTAGCTCTGTCTTGCGATATATTTGCCTAGTCTACTTTTCTCTTTCCACAATAAATAGTTAACCGATATGTTTAAAATATTAGTATCTGAAATAGTCACATTTATAACTATTTCCCAAGGTTCTCTTTATATTCTTATTAGTTTATTTGCAGATTGTTATTCTTTTAATATGGTTTTAAATTTTATTTTGATTTTTTCAGAACAATGTGTATTTATATCATAAACAAAGTAAAATAATATTACCTGGCTTATAATAAATAATAATAACCCTATACCTCATTCGTGTCTAACCTTGATTCCTCCTCTCCTGAGACAACCACTTTCACCTCTTTTTGTTGTTTCTTCTGCTGTTTACTTCCTCCTTTCCAAATAATATTCTTTTATTGTTATTTTATTATTTTTCTTATTTGAACATTGGTTATCTATTGACTTCTTATCATGAATGATGAGCAATTAGCTTTTTTACACAAGCCACCGCATATACTCTTCTCTCTTCATATCTTTCCAGTAGTCATATCAAGTTTTACATTACTGTGTCTAAGGCACATAATATTAGGATTACATTTCCTTTATTTACTTACAGTTTTGCCTGGTGGTAATAATTGCTTTGAGGTTTTTGTTTGTTTTATTAGTTATTTGTATACATATCACCAGTTTCTTCCCAAATTCCTTTCTCAAACTGTGACGTTTCTCCCAATAGTGTTTCTGTTGTGAAATACATTCTCCCTTATTGAATAACATCAGGTAATCCATACATCCCCTTTTGTTCTTGGAAACGTCTTTCCTCAGGTTTCTATCCTCTGCTCCAAACTGTACTTATTTTCCAGGCTTGCTGTCACCCTCAAGGTTCCCTTTACCACTTGCTTGTGCTAGATCCCCTTTTTTCTGGATCCCATGTCTTCCTCTTTCTAGGTTTACTTCTTCCACTTGATAGAGTACATCCCTAGTAGCTTTCCGAAAGAGTATGTAATGTGGGGTGAATTTTTTCAGACCTTGCAGTCTACCCTCACATTTGATGGATAGTTTTGGATCTAGAATTATAGATCAGAAATCACCTTTCCCTCAGAGTCTTGAAGGCATTACTGCAATTTGCTTCTGGTTTCCTGTGTTGCCATTAAAAATTCTGTTGCCTTCCAATTTTTTATTCTTTGTGGGTAATCATTTTTTTGTGTTTCTAATAGAACTTTTTAAGATCTTTTCTCTAGTGTTCTAAAATTTAGAAAAAATAGAGTACTCATATTATAATCTAAGTACAGAAGAATGCATTTAATCTTCATGAAAGAGTGACGACAAGAAAGAATAATTATAAATATGACCTAGCAGTGTGTTTAGGGCTCCAGTGTTTGTAGAACTGAAAGGTTCTGTTTATTTCTGGCATTGGTTCAATATTTTGTTAAATGAAATAGATTCAAGGTGTAGTTTGGTACAAAGGAAACTTACTTGGTTTACCTTGGCAGATATCTCTTAAGATTCCCAAAATAAAACTGGGGCCAAATTTTGCTCACTAGGTGGATTAAGTAGTTAAGGACTTTGTTGATGAAGGTTTTGAGGGCATTTGCTGTTTCTGTTCTACTGTTACTATCCTGGTTCAACATAGTTTCCTTAGAGCAGATGGTTCCATAGTTAGTTTTACATTGAATGTTATGCAACTTATAGTATCTCATAAATATTATTTAACAGTCCACTCCTTTTCTTTTTATTTGTGGTTTCGCTTGGCTTTTGTTCTTTGTCCTTATTGTAGAGAAAGATCTTGAACCAGGCTTTGCCATTATGTCGAGAGAACTTTGCTTAAGTAAATGGTCTTGCATACTGATGTCATCTGGTAGACTCTGGCTTTACCACTTGTTTCGAGGAAACCTTCAGTATGAAAACCTGCACTGAGAGGCTGGCCCGGTGGTGTAGTGGTTAAGTTCACACACTTTGCTTCAGTGGCCTGGGGCTCGTGGGTTCGGATCCCGGGCATAGACCTACACACTGCTCATCAGTCCATGCTTGGCGCCATCCCACATATGAAATAGAGGTAGATTGACACAAATGTTAACTCAAGGACAATCTTCCTCAAGCAAAAAGAGGAAGATTGGCAACAGATGTTAGCTCAGGACCAGTTTTCCTCACACAAAAAAAGAGAACCTGCACTAATCATCTGTATTACGACAAATTACTAATCATCCTCTTTCTGAAAAATGTCTTACTGATGAAGCTACAAAGCTGTTTTTCAGCCCATGCTGAAGTGCCGGTTAACCTGTTTGCTTGAAATTGGTTCCTGAGAAGTTGTTTGGAATAACTTTTTCAGCCTCACTTTAGGTTAGGATAACAGAAGCCTCTCAGGAGATCTCCTCCAAAAGACAGTTTGGGTGAAGGATATAAAAGACTGGATAAAAACATAATACTGAGTTATTCACAACAAGTTGATAATTGGTGTTTCTTTTTGCTTACAGCAATCTGTTATTCAGAGTCCCATGTTACTAGAAATATAGTTATTTATTAGAGGATTTGCGAGGACTGAACTAACTGATCATACATAGCATCCATCCCTTTCTCCATAATCCTTCCGTTACATTTCATTTTCTTTGACTCAAAATAAACTACCTTGACCTTTGTTTTTACTGGCATCATTCCTTGTCTCTCTGCCTGGCATCATTTTAGAAACCCTTACTGTGCTCTGCTGTTCATGGCAAGCAAACTGGAAACAGTAAGATTTTAACAAAGAGCATTTTTTGATATAGCTAAACTCCCCTGCATAAAACGGAACCTTACTTATGGGACTAAATTAGAGTATTTTGTAACACTGTCTCCAAGAAGAATGAAAACATCTAAAAAAAAGTAAACATAACATATATCACTGAAATGTGAATATTCTTTTTTCCTAAATCTCATTTTTTTTAATTAAGAAAAAAAAGAGAGCAAAAGATTTAATCAACTTTTTATTAGGAAGAATGTTAAGTAATAGATGCCGTTCCTTCAAAGTTGAGAGAAAAATCTGACTTGCCTTTGGCGGATTTCAAGTTCTAGATTCCTGAAGATAAAGTCATCAAAAAGGACTTCCTTGTAGCTTGCACTTACAAAAGTGAACTACTATATAATTAAATGAGATTTGCATAGATAAAAGACAAAATCCTTTGGTATCTTTTCCTTATATGAGTATTCTGAAAGTTGGGGAATGATTTAGCAAATCTTCTTCTTTTGTTTCATATATTAATAAAAAAGTAGCACTTTATTCTTTATCTCCTGATTCTATAAGAATTCAAAGAGGAAAAGCTTCTAATAACCTGGTGAATCCAGTTCTTCATCCTACTGAAACACTGCTTCATTTATCCCTCATATTTCAAGATCCTCCTATCTTATAGAATCTTAAAGTCCTGTAGGATTTTGTTTGTCTTTCTGATAGAAATCCATATTCATCTCCCCCAAAGTTACTTTTTAAACTTGTGTAGAATATCAGGGCTGGTAGGTTTTGGTTAGCCAGCTAAATTACTCATCCTTAGCCATCTTTAGTCACTTAGATCCAGTTATCATTTTTAGTTTTCTCGTGTGAGGTTAAGAGAAAACTTTGCTTTCTTGAATTCACTAGGAAAATATCCTTGTTCATTTTTTAAAAAATTACTTTGTCAACGCATGTCTATCTGAGGATTATAATTTGAAAGATCATGTTATTTACTTAACTTTTTCATCTAGGCTTAACTTTGCAAGGAAAGAGAGTGTTTTGGTCTTGAGTCTTATTACTTAGGCTTCATCAAAGCTGGCTTTAAGCCCAGTTTAGAGAGTAGTTCAGAAACAGCTTTGTGCTTTTAAATAATCAAGCCCTTGCTACCTATGCTGCCTAACACAAACAATTTTATTCTCTCTCTTACGGAGAACAAGTTGATCACAAGTTTCTCTTGCTTAACTAACTTGACCGTTTGCTCCTAATAATATGCTTCTTCGACCTCCTTTACTTCTTTCTTCCCTTGTTTCATTCTTTCCTCTGTGAAGACATCTTTCTTGGCCTGGGTTTACTTCTGAAGGGAGGAACATTTAGTAAGCAAATAGCCATTTCTTGATAAATAGGCTCTCGTTGGGTTGACTTATTAGTCTACTTCACCTAGTCTTCCATCGTTTTCCAGGACAGTCTCCGTAAGAAGGATGACAGGATTGAAGAGCTGGAAGAAGCACTAAGAGAAAGTGTACAGATAACTGCAGAGCGAGAAATGGTGCTAGCACAAGAGGAATCAGCCAGGACCAATGCTGAAAAACAGGTCTGCAATTTTATACAGTTACTGGCAATGCTGCTGGTTAAGCAAAAGGTAAAACCTAACCAGTATAGTTTAGGTAAACTATACATAATGAATGTTTATAGGGTCTCAAAAGCACTTCATCACGTGTAAGTATTTAGACTTAAATAACAATTGAAATATAGTAACATAAGAATTGACTCTTGTTAATGCAGGGGTCTCTGCATTAATAATTTGGAACTGATTTCATATATATTTATGTAGTATACACTCACATCTGATGAGATGAAATGGAACTTGTCTGTTTGTGATGAGACTGGGCATAAGCCTGCTTTTAAATGGAATGGGAAAACACAAAAATTTCTGAGTCAAAGATGTTAATTTTAAATAGCAAATAGTTTATTTATTTTATACCCTGCCTGTTCAAATGAGCAGTTAAAGTTTTAACAAGATAATAGCAAGTATGGGGGACATAGATATCCTGACACTTGAGAGTCCCGGATCAGCGTGTCTCAACCTTGAGGTTGAGCATCGGCTGATGCTGTTTGTTTGTATATTTTTCTACATCTTTTTAGATCCCCATACTCTTGCTTTTAACTTTTTATTAGGAAGAATAACTAAAGATGAGAGATGTGATGGAAGAAATAATTTTGACAAATGAAGGCGCTAATCTCATTTCCCATTTTGAGAGTGTGATTTGAGGTTTTGAATCTACTGCACACAGATTCGTGATATTTAATTTTTTCAGGGATTGTTTCTTTTCTGTTTCTTTGTTGGAGAAGTATAAATGCTAAACAGGTAAAGAGAGTTCCGTGAGAGGGTAACGTGAATCTTTTGGGGAAGCCCTTGATCAGACCGTCATTGCTCTTGTGAGTTAAGATGGTTGCATCACAAGGAAGAGGGGTACATTTCCAAAGCAGACGTATTGTAGTATGCACCATGAGGGGTCCCTTTAAAACTGTTAGATGTGAGGGTCTGGTTTCTTTAGAGTCGATTGTAGAAAGAAAGACAAACTGACATTTATTAGCAAAGCTGATGGAAAATTGATCTTTTCACAGAATGAGTATCTTTCAGTGCCCTGTTCTTAGATATATGCCTTAGTCTGCTTTCTGTTTGAGTATTTCCTAACGTACAGTTAGGTCGAGCAGTGGGTAGTGGAGAGCTGCAGAGAAGGGAAGGTGACGGCCATTGTTCCAGGGTGACGAGGGATGTGTTTTATCTTGATTCCTACCTTTTTTTTACATTGTTTCCTTTATTTTCAAACTGTTTCCTATTTTTTTTTTTTTTGGTAAAGATTTCTTTCTGCTTTAGGATCATTATTTAGTGACAAGTCTTACATGTCCGAGATTGTGTAGAAATTTTGGCAGTTAATAATAGATCACGTCAATATGGCTGCTTTTGTGTGCTCTTTTTAAGCTATTGTGTGAACTGGTTATAATTTGCTTTTTTTTGTAGCTTCATTCATTTGTTCATTGACGTATTATGGACTTTTTTTAGTTTACAGAAAAGTTGAGCAGAAAGTATAGCGAGTTCTCGTATACTCCTTCCTCTACCTCTGTTTTCCCTATTATTAACATCTTGTATTGGTGTGATACATTTGTTAAAATTGATGAGCCAATATCGGTGCATTATAAACTACTTCATAGTTTACATTTTGGTTCATTCTTCATGTTGTACAGTTTTGTATGTTTTGCCGAGTATATAATGTCAAGTATCCGTCATTATAGTATCATACAGAATAGTTTCATAGCCCTAAAACTCCCCTGTGCTCTGTCTGTTCTTCCCTCCCCCATCTCCCCAGTCCCTGATCTTTTTTCTGTCTCTATAGTTTTGCCTTTGCCAGAATGTCATATAGCTGGAATCATGTAGCATGTAACCGTTTTAGACTGGCCTCTTTCGTTTAGCCTCCATATGCAAGGTCCTTCCATGTCTTTTTGTGGCTTGAGATCTTGTTTTGTTTTATCTCTGAATAATATTCCATTCTGTGGATGTGCCATAATTTGTTTATTCCTTCACCTATTGAAGAACATTTTGGCAATTATGTCTTTGGCAATTATGAATAAAGGTTCTATAAACATTCATCTACAGGTTTTTGTATGAAAATAAATTTTCAACTCATTTAGGTAAATACTTGGGAGTGTGCTTACTGGCTTGTGTGGTAAGACTATAGTTAACCCTTTAAGAAGCTGTGAAACTGTCTTCCAAAATGGATAAATATAATTTGCTTCTAATTGCATGCTTTTTTCTTTCCCTCTTTCCTGTTTATCTTTTTTCCACCATTCTGCTACTCACTGCCTATCTGAAGCTGTTGAGTGAAACATTGCATGAGACCAGTCATTTGGGCTTTAAGTGGTTGAAGGTATGAAGAAACTGCTTTATGTTTGTAGTTCTGAGGCTGTGTAACCTTCATCCACTGTCCCCCTGCTCTCATCTTCTGTTCTTTTCTTATTTTTGTCTTTTTCTGTCTCCTAGCCCCCATGTTAATTTTACTTATATATGTATTAATTGTATGCACCAAGATAATCTACAAATATTTCTTTGAAATATATTAAATGGGTGAAGATTTTTTTGGCTAGGGACACTATTCTTATTATCTCTCTCAGGTCCAAAAATTATCTGTCTCTTGCCCGAGTTTCGCCTCTGAGAAGAAATGACTCCCTCTGATACAAGGAGGATGTCTGCATCTCTTGATATCTCAAAGAGCAAAGTAAAATTGTTTGGCAACCATATCTCATTAAAATAAAATACAGAATCTTTTAAAGTTTAAGCAGGGAAAAACTGAAAAGAAAAAGGAAAAGATTTTTGGATGCCTTTGCCATATTCTTACCGAATCCCCTTACAGTATCTTCATTCCTAATACATGCTGCTCTGTACTGAGCCCAAGCCCCAAATTCAGAGAAGTTTGTAATGATCCAGTGAAGGAAGGTGTCCTCTAACCTGTGTTGGCAAATAGAGAGATAAATGTGAATAATCTTATGGGGAAAACTCCAGGGGTTCTTTACTTTTGCTTTGTTCCTTTCCACATGGATTTTCTTCTTCTGAAACCTGTCTTCTTAGTTTTGGCAGGTGTTGTGCTTTGTTGACTGTGAGAGCCATTTTCTTAAAATGAGCATAGACTAGAATTTATTCTCTGAAATAATTCACAACTGTCAGGAGGTGGGGAGCAGTATCCTTGGTTCAGCAGTGCTACTGTGACCTGAAGATTTTTGGAATGCTTTTTTTTGCACTTGAAAAGATTATTTTAATACCTTCACTGGTTTTCTTTGAGAGTAAATTTATTTTTTGAAGGAACCATTTGCAAATAGATTGCTAACTAAAGGTTTAAAAAATGCCTCTAACATATAAGACTTTTTCTTGTGGCTCAATAAGCTGGATTTATATCTATTCCTAATAAATATTTTTTATGTTTTGAACATTGATAAAGATATATCCTTTCAATATAACTAACATTTGCATGAGTTATGATTTTTTTAAAGCTAATTTTTAATAGTGATACTCATTTTTTTCAAATTGCCATTGTTTGGCTTGTATGTTAAGTATAAATTCTTGACCTAGACGATCATAACATTTTACCTATGATTTGCTAGATAGTTATAGATTAATGAGCATTTTTAAGGACTACATGTTTTTTATTCTTTTTTTAATTTAGGTTTTAAAACTTTTCATTTACATATTAAAAATAGTGCATTCCAGTAATTAAAATAATTTGAACAAAAAAATGATACTCTTGATTAAACTGCGTTTTACAGCCTGCAGAACACCTTGGGCCAGCTTGGTTTTTACTCTGGGTATCACTGTTGTCCCACCTAGCTTCCTACTTCAACATGCAAGTTCTTTTCCTTCTCAGCCAGCCAGACAGATGGGAGACGCAGGGATGACCTTTATTTTCACTAGTTCTTGATTCTTTGATGTGAAAATGGGCAGCACAGTCATTTAAACTTGGTCCCACCTTTTTGCCTCTCACAAAGTTAAATAGCTAAAAGAAGTAAAGTGAGAAGGCACTGACTGTGGACTGTACAATGCATATTAGTGGCGCACACGTTATTATGATTCACCTACTTCTCCTTCTCAATTGTTTCTTTTGAAGGCAGTGGAGTTTCCTCTTGCGTATGTATTTTTTTCATTTTTGGCTTAATCGAATTTCTCAATCTCACCCGTATCTGGTTCGTCAGACGTGGTTGCAGAGGGAGCAGAGCTAGACACATGAATGAATGGAGTTCAGTCTGTGCAGTGGCCGCCACTGAGTGTCCTATTTTTTTTATTCTTAAAGATTTATTAAATCCTCTATTGACTGCAAATCTCCCCAGTCAGTTACACAGCAGTACTTTTTCGAAGAGAACAGGTAGCACTCTGGCAGCAGCGCTGGTGGCTGGGTAGCCTGTGGAAGATGATGTGTCATGCTGGAACTGTGATCGTACTCCCCAGTCCTTCCAACTGCCATCTTACTTTCAGCTATCCCCAGAGTGGACAGTTTATTCTTTGGTTTTATAAACATAATCCTGTACTGATGTGAATAATTTATGCTATATTTCCATCATTTTTTAATTCAATGACAGTAATGCTCAGAAAATGAAATAATGATACTTCTACTTAGCTACCTTTTCTACAAACATTTGTTGAATACCTTGTATTTTTCTAGATGCTACACTAAACACTGGAAATAAAAAGGCAGTAGATATAGCCTTTGCCTCAGGAAGTGCGTAGTTTATTGGGAAAGACTGAAGAATGAACCTATAATTATGGTTCAATTTGATAAGTACCATGGTAGTGATCTCAATAGAGAACTTTAAGAATATTAAAGGAAGTACAGGCATGCAATCTGGATTGGAGAGCTCCATAGAAGGCTTTCTGGAGGAGATGGCTAATGCATGTACTGAGTCTTAAAAAGAGTTAGACAAAGCAGAGGTGGAAGGATATTGAATGTATTACATGTAGAGGATCCAGCATAGGTACAAGCTGGAAGCATCCAAAGAACTTTAAATACTAGTGGTCAGTAGCTACAGTTCAGGATAGATACGAATGGCAAGATCTATGGGAGGAAGGGAGAGGGAAGTGCACACAATCAGATCATGCTGAAGCATGTTTAGTCTTATGTTATATTCCAGAATTTTGATTTTATATTCAAGGCAGTGGAGAATTAGTAAAGCATTTTAAGCAGAGAACAATATTTATTCATGAGTTTGCTTGCTCATTCATTCATTCAGCAGATCTTTATTGAGTATCCAATGGTGCTGCGGTAGTCCTGGGTAATGTATCATGATGAACAAAGCAGCTGTGGTCTCTCCCCTAAGAGAACTTAGAGTTCACAGGGGGACACAGACACCAACCGACAAATAACATTTAATTACAAGTTATCACAAAGTACTATAAAGGATAAGAACAGGTTTTCTGCTACAGACAATAATCTGGTAGAGGTTGGAGAGGTTAGAACCTATTTTGGGTTGAGTGCTCAGAGAAGGTTCTCTGAGAAAGTAACATTTAACCTGGGCCCTGGAGGATGAGAAGCCTGCCATGTAAAGAGTGGGGAGGAATCAACACTGTGATGGCGGTAAGGTGGCAAAGAGCGGGATGTGTGTGGGAGCAATACAAGGGATCAGGGCCTTATGTAAGCAGTGGCAAGAAGTGTGTGTGTTTTTTTAAAGTGTTGGAAGCCATTAAAGAGGTTTAAGCAGTGCATGACACCCTCTGATTTGTGTTTTTAAAAGATTATTCTGGGGTCCAGCTCCGTGGCTGAGTGGTTAAGTTCGCGCGCTCTGCTGCAGCGGCCCAGGGTGTGGATCCTGGGCGCGGACATGGCACCACTCGTCAGGCCACGTTGAGGTGGTGTCCCACATCCCACAACTAGAAGGACCTGCAACCAAGATATACAACTATGTACCAGGGGGGTTTGGGAAATAAAGCAGAAAAGAAAAATTAAAAAAAAAAAAAGATTATTCTGGCTGCTAGTTGGAAAATGGATTCACTAGGGCTAAGAGTGTAAGGAAGAAGATGAGATGGATATTAGAGTAGCTGAAGCCAGAGGTCTTCAAACTGAGGTGCACATACACCTGGATGCATGAGCATTTTCCCAGAGGGAACGTGGGCACAGCTCCTCAGCTTCTAAACATGCTTTCCCCTCAAATTGATATGCCTGAGAAGGCACCTAAGATGTGCAGATTCTTTTTCCACTTCCCCTTTCACAGTTTTGCATTCCTCATTTGATGATATACACACCTCTCCTGAATCTTACTATTCTGTATTCCTCTGGGGAGGAAAAAAGCCTCTCGAACAATAACAAAGGCATAGTTCCAAATACTGTTGTTGAGGAAATGGATGAGAAGAGTCAGATTGTTTACAATTCTTTGTTTTGAACAGAATTGAAAGGCAGCCTGATTAAGTTGCCAGCTGATAGATAATTATAAGTGATTTTTTGTGATAGCCTAATATGTGATTTGGGGCATATGATTCTGAAGGAGTGTAAAAAATTGAGTTATATTACTGTGACAAAACTCCTTCCATTCCTGTTCATTTCTTTATGTAAAGGTTTGTTAGTGCTTATGCCTATGAAAATGAAACATACCATAGAATTGATGCTAAACCCTGGGTCTTTCTAGCAATAAGTAATATTGATCAAGGGTTATCTAAACTAATAAAAATAAAACTTCCATTAATCTCATTAAGATATATACATGTAATGATAAGATATATATATATTTTTAAAGATTTTTTAATTTTTTCCTTTTTCTCCCCAAAGCCCCCCGGTACACAGTTGTATATTCCTCGTTGTGGGTCCTTCCAGTTGCGGCATGTGGGACGCTGCCTCAGCGTGGTTCGATGAGCAGTGCCATGTCCGTGCCCAGGATTCGAACCAATGAAACACTGGGCCGCCTGCAGCGGAGCACACGAACTTAACCACTCAGCCACGGGGCCAGCCCCGATAAGATATATTTTTAATAAGATTTTACTCTTCACATTTAATAGTCTTTCAAAATATCTAATATTTATATTAGGTTTGGTTGATTGTATGTTACTAGTAATTATAATGATAACTCAATCAGAAAGAACTTTTTAACAGAGTTATGACCACAGGAAATTTTGTAAATTTCAAATTTAAATTTATTTACATATTTTTGTTGCAGAAAATACAAGAGCATCCATACAAACAGTCTAGCATAAAATAAACTTAATTAGTATGAAATTTTAGGGAGAAATGGAATGGAAACACTAGTCAAGAAGAAAAAGGCAAGTGTTGTGGCTGGTCTGGTGGCATAGTGGTTAAGCTCACACGCTCTGTTTTGGTGGCCTGGGGTTCGCAGGTTCAGATCCCGGGTGTGGACCTAGCACTGCTTGTCAAGCCACACTGTGGAGGTGTCCCACATA